CAAACGCCAGGTTCGGAAAAGATGCTGGAAAGAGTTCTTGCTGCAATCTTGATGATGCAGGAGATCGACTCGCTGCTGAAGGCAGCCTCTGGCAGCTACATGAAGGGTGTTCTCTCCTACACTGACGAGGAGCTGGTGTCCATGGACTTCGTTCACAACATGAACTCCTCCATTTACGACTCCAAGGCTACTCTGCAGAACAACCTGCCGGGCGAGAAGCGATTCTTCAAGGTCGTGTCTTGGTACGACAACGAGTGGGGATATTCCAACAGGGTGGTGGATCTTCTCATGCACATGATCAGCGCATAAGCCCGAGCGCATCGATTCTATTTTGCGCGCAGAGCCGAGCTCTCGTCGCCTGTAGGACACTGTAGGTACATGCCGTCCCGTGCAGTCAGCACACAGACACTGGCAGTTTGCATCGACGTCGCCAGGAAAATGCGGAGATGGGCGTAGTTTTTGAATCGATGGTCACTGCTGCGCTGATTTCTGCTAGATTGTATAGATTGCTGCTTAATCTCCATTGCAACTTTAATCCCTGTTGGCGCATGTTCTGCTGCAGTGCTCCATTCCTGCTAGTGCGTCCCCGAACTCTTGTCCCATTGTCGACATTGCAATGGCGGTGAAGATCGGCATCAACGGATTCGGGCGCATCGGTCGCATGGTTTTCCAGGCCAGGGAAGCCTCTTTGCTAGCTGGATCAGTGGACACGCTTAGCTGCGGGTACGCAGTCTCTGTATGTCACGATTATGTCACGGGTAGCTGTGTGACAGGAAGCGACGAGAAGCTGCCGTCGTCTGTCGCGTTGCAAGCTTGTAGGAAGATCGAAGCAAAAACCTGCAAGGCCATCTGCGACCAGGGTCTGTTGGGCTCCAAGCTCGATGTCGTCGGCGTGGTCGATATGTCCACCGACGCAGAGCTTCTCGGCTGTCTGCTGTTTCAGTATGCATCACGAAGAGACATCCCGACTCCTGCATGATAGCCAGCCGAGCGCGATCCGACATAAGGTACTTCGCTTACCAGATGAAGTATGCCGCACTCTGAGTTTCTTCATCAACAGATGCAAGATGCCTTCAGCCGCATATCTCGTCAACTGTAGCGTGTTGCTCAGGACACGGTTCACGGCCAGTTCAAGCACGACGTGAAGATCGGTGAGAAGGACGAGCTGATCGTGAACGGAAACAAGATCAAGCAACTTGGCAGCGTTGCCTTCGTGCTGAAGTCGGTCGGCAGTAACAACGCATGCAGGTGCATCCAGGCCAGCCGGGAAGGCCCCAAGGCCCTGCCTTGGAAGGAGCTTTTGCTCCTGAAGCCTTCGAGACTGACAATCCCGACATCTTGAAGTCTCGACAGGACATGGGCGTGAAGTACGTCATCGAGTCCACTGGCCTATTCGTGGAGTACGAGTGGCTCGTCGACGTATGTTCGGTTCATGGAGTGGTGCCGTGCGCAGTATTTTCTAGCGGGCTCGCTCTGCTCTGAGGAAGGCCGTCGGCCACATCGAGGCAGGTGCAGAGAAGGTGATCATCTCGGCCCCGGGCAAGGGCAACCTGAGCCTTGGGATTCAGTTCAGGCGGTCTTGAGGGGACCTCCCCGCTCCTCGCATGATTCGGACTAGCCCTTTGTCGCCGAGTAGTTGGTAGTTGCGGCATAGCGGGTTCAAGGAAGACGCTGGTCTGCGGCGTGAACCACACGGAGTACGACAAGGCCGCCCCTTGTGTTTCTTGTTTTGCTGTCGGGCAGTGCCGCCGGCCTAAGACTGTGGCGAATCTGTTGGTGCAGCATCGTCTTTGTTTTGGGGGGCAGTGGAAGGCCAACCACCACGTGGTGAGCAACGCCTCCTGCACCACGAACTGCCTTGCCCCGATCTGCCACGTGCTCCTCAAGGAGGGCGTCGGCATCGAGAAGGGGCTGATGACCACCATCCATGCTTACACCGCGACGCAGAAGACGGTGGATGGCGTCTCTGCCAAGGATTGGCGAGGAGGTCGCGCAGCCGCATGCAACATCATTCCCTCCGCGACGGGCGCCGCAAAGGCCGTGGGTGAGGTGCTGCCGAGCACCAAGGGTAAGCTTACCGGCATGGCCTTCCGAGTGCCAACTCCGGATGTCTCAGTGGTGGACCTCACTTTCACGGCAGAGAAGGACACGTCCATCCAGGAGACTCGGGTCGCAAGCAGCGGTAGACGCAGACCCCCAGTAGGCAAACGCCAGGTTCGGAAAAGGTGCTGGAAAGAGTTCTTGCTGCAATCTTGATGATGCAGGAGATCGACTCGCTGCTGAAGGCAGCCTCTGGCAGCTACATGAAGGGTGTTCTCTCCTACACCGACGAGGAGTTGGTGTCCATGGACTTCGTTCACAACGTGAACTCCTCCATCTACGACTCTAAGGCCACTCTGCAGAACAACCTGCCGGGCGAGAAGCGATTCTTCAAGGTCGTGTCTTGGTACGACAACGAGTGGGGATATTCCAACAGGGTGGTGGATCTTCTGATGCACATGATCAGCGCATAAGCCCGAGGGCATCGATTCCATTTTGCGCGCAGAGCCGAGCTCTCGTCGCCTGTAGGACACCGTAGGTACATGCTGTCCTGTGCAGTCAGCACACAGACACTGGCAGTTTGAATCGACGTCGCCAGGAAAATGCGGAGATGGGCGTAGTTTTCGGAGCGATGGTCACTGCTGCGCTGATTTCTGCTTAATCTCCATTGCAACTTTAATCCCTGTTGGCGCATGTTCTGCTGCAGTGCTCCATTCTTGCTAGTGCGTCCCCGAACTCTTGTCCCATTGTCGAAATTGCAATGGCGGTGAAGATCGGCATCAACGGATTCGGGCGCATCGGTCGCATGGTTTTCCAGGCCAGTGAAGCCTTTTTGCTAGCTGGATCAGTGGACACGCTTAGCTGCGGGTACGCAGTCTCTGTATGTCACGATTATGTCACGGGTAGCTGTGTGACAGGAAGCGACGAGAAGCTGCCGTCGTTTGTCGCGTTGCAAGCTTGTAGGAAGATCGAAGCAAAAACCTGCAAGGCCATCTGCGACCAGGGTCTGTTGGGCTCCAAGCTCGATGTCGTCGGCGTGGTCGATATGTCCACCGACGCAGAGCTTCTCGGCTGTCTGCTGTTTCAGTATGCATCACGAAGAGACATCCCGACTCCTGCATGATAGCCAGCCGAGCGCGATCCGACATAAGGTACTTCGCTTACCAGATGAAGTATGCCGCACTCTGAGTTTCTTCATCAACAGATGCAAGATGCCTTCAGCCGCATATCTCGTCAACTGTAGCTTGTTGCTCAGGACACGGTTCACGGCCAGTTCAAGCACGACGTGAAGATCGGTGAGAAGGACGAGCTGATCGTGAACGGAAACAAGATCAAGCAACTTGGCAGCGTTGCCTTCGTGTGCTGAAGTCGGTCGGCAGTAACAACGCATGCAGGTGCATCCAGGCCAGCCGGGAAGGCCCCAAGGCCCTGCCTTGGAAGGAGCCTTTGCTCCTGAAGCCTTCGAGACTGACAATCCCGACATCTTGAAGTCTCGACAGGACATGGGCGTGAAGTACGTCATCGAGTCCACTGGCCTCTTCGTGGAGTACGAGTGGCTCGTCGACGTATGTTCGGTTCATGGAGTGGTGCCGTGCGCAGTATTTTCTAGCGGGCTCGCTCTGCTCTGAGGAAGGCCGTCGGCCACATCGAGGCAGGTGCAGAGAAGGTGATCATTTCGGCCCCGGGCAAGGGCAACCTGAGCCTTGGGATTCAGTTCAGGCGGTCTTGAGGGGACCTCCCCGCTCCTCGCATGATTCGGACTAGCCCTTTGTCGCCGAGTAGTTGGTAGTTGCGGCATAGCGGGTTCAAGGAAGACGCTGGTCTGCGGCGTGAACCACACGGAGTACGACAAGGCCGCCCCTTGTGTTTCTTGTTTCGCTGTCGGGCAGTGCCGCCGGCCTAAGACTGTGGCGAATCTGTTGCTGCAGCATCGTCTTTGTTTTGGGGGGCAGTGGAAGGCCAACCACCACGTGGTGAGCAACGCCTCCTGCACCACGAACTGCCTTGCCCCGATCTGCCACGTGCTCCTCAAGGAGGGCGTCGGCATCGAGAAGGGACTCATGACCACCATCCATGCTTACACCGCCACGCAGAAGACGGTGGATGGCGTGTCTGCCAAGGATTGGCGAGGAGGTCGCGCAGCCGCATGCAACATCATTCCCTCCGCGACGGGCGCCGCAAAGGCCGTGGGTGAGGTGCTGCCGAGCACCAAGGGTAAGCTTACCGGCATGGCCTTCCGAGTGCCAACTCCGGATGTCTCAGTGGTGGACCTCACTTTCACGGCAGAGAAGGACACGTCCATCCAGGAGACTCGGGTCGCAAAGCAGCGGTAGACGCAGACCCGCAGTAGGCAAACGCCAGGTGCGTGCTTGAAAGAGTTCTTGCTGCAATCTTGATGATGCAGGAGATCGACTCGCTGCTGAAGGCAGCCTCTGGCAGCTACATGAAGGGTGTTCTCTCCTACACCGACGAGGAGTTGGTGTCCATGGACTTCGTTCACAACGTGAACTCCTCCATCTACGACTCTAAGGCCACTCTGCAGAACAACCTGCCGGGCGAGAAGCGATTCTTCAAGGTCGTGTCTTGGTACGACAACGAGTGGGGATATTCCAACAGGGTGGTGGATCTTCTGATGCACATGATCAGCGCATAAGCCCGAGCGCATCGATTCCATTTTGCGCGCAAAGCCGAGCTCTCGTCGCCTGTAGGACACTGTAGGTACATGGCGTCCCGTGCAGTCAGCACACAGACACTGGCAGTTTGAATCGACGTCGCCAGGAAAATGCGGAGATGGGCGTAGTTTTTGGAGCGATGGTCACTGCTGCGCTGATTTCTGCTAGATTGTATAGATTGCTGCTTAATCTCCATTGCAACTTTAATCCCTGTTGGCGCATGTTCTGCTGCAGTGCTCCATTCTTGCTAGTGCGTCCCCGAACTCTTGTCCCATTGTCGAAATTGCAATGGCGGTGAAGATCGGCATCAACGGATTCGGGCGCATCGGTCGCATGGTTTTCCAGGCCAGTGAAGCCTTTTTGCTAGCTGGATCAGTGGACACGCTTAGCTGCGGGTACGCAGTCTCTGTATGTCACGATTATGTCACGGGTAGCTGTGTGACAGGAAGCGACGAGAAGCTGCCGTCGTTTGTCGCGTTGCAAGCTTGTAGGAAGATCGAAGCAAAAACCTGCAAGGCCATCTGCGACCAGGGTCTGTTGGGCTCCAAGCTCGATGTCGTCGGCGTGGTCGATATGTCCACCGACGCAGAGCTTCTCGGCTGTCTGCTGTTTCAGTATGCATCACGAAGAGACATCCCGACTCCTGCATGATAGCCAGCCGAGCGCGATCCGACATAAGGTACTTCGCTTACCAGATGAAGTATGCCGCACTCTGAGTTTCTTCATCAACAGATGCAAGATGCCTTCAGCCGCATATCTCGTCAACTGTAGCTTGTTGCTCAGGACACGGTTCACGGCCAGTTCAAGCACGACGTGAAGATCGGTGAGAAGGACGAGCTGATCGTGAACGGAAACAAGATCAAGCAACTTGGCAGCGTTGCCTTCGTGTGCTGAAGTCGGTCGGCAGTAACAACGCATGCAGGTGCATCCAGGCCAGCCGGGAAGGCCCCAAGGCCCTGCCTTGGAAGGAGCCTTTGCTCCTGAAGCCTTCGAGACTGACAATCCCGACATCTTGAAGTCTCGACAGGACATGGGCGTGAAGTACGTCATCGAGTCCACTGGCCTCTTCGTGGAGTACGAGTGGCTCGTCGACATACTTGCGCTTCATGGAGTGGTGCCGTGCGCAGTATTTGCTTGGGTTCTGCCTTCAGTTTCCCTACGGTACCCAAGCAGTGCTTGCGGGCTCGCGCTGCCCTGAGGAAGGCCGTCGGTCACATCGAGGCAGGTGCAGAGAAGGTGATCATCTCGGCCCCGGGCAAGGGCAACCTGAGCCTTGGGATTCAATAGCATCCGATGTGTGTTCCGGACCAACATCTATTGCCGGACCGTCATCGTCGTGACGGTCGAAGTAATGGCAACAGTAGTAATGGATCTTTTAGCCGTACACGTAGTAGCCGCGGTCGGAGTGAACTACCCAACAATGAACAGTAGTAGCTCAGTAGTACTTGCTTCATTTCATTGACGGACTCTGGTAGATTTCTTGATGTCGAATGCAAGTTGTTGTCATGCTAGCTGATATGGTCGTGGCAATACCAGTAGAATGGTATTGATATTTCCGGCATCTGTTTTTGTCGTCGGCATGTTTCGGCACTCTTTGCACCTGCTAAGCCCTCTGCCTCTACCGTGTTGGGCTTGGAGGCCATCTTTAACTTTCGGCCCGGCGGCCAGTCTTGAGATCATGATTACTGACGGTCTGGAAGGAGATGGAGGGGTTGAGTCTTCCTTGGCACCCACAGACCCCAGAGGGCCAGCATCGGGTCTCGCTTCTGCTTTGCAAGCACGTTCTCGCTTCCAAGCACCGGCTACATCTTAACGATGCGGATATTGCCCTCTAGCTCCAAATCCTCGTCCACAGCTGCCCGAAACTGCCCGCGGCTGCTACTGTTATTGCCATTTCCAAGAGTGCCACTGCCAGTACCGGTACGAGTACGATTACGAGTGCGACGACTACAAAGAGACAACTGCTGCTACTACTACTACTACTGCTGCTACTACTACTACTACTACTACTACTGCTACTGCTACTACTACTACTACTACTACTACTACTACTACTACTACTACTACTACTACTGCTACGACACTCTTCAGAGGGCCTGTGGCCACGTGTTTGCTGGCTTAGCGACGTCAGTTTCTACGGCCACCCAGGCTGGATTTGCTGACAGTCTCAACCAAATTGCATTCTACGCAGGAGTTCCAAAAGCCTGGTTTGATCCGTTGATTTCAATTTTAAAGCTGCTTACGGTGACGTGGGCCTGGATTGGAGGGGGCTTTCGCCCGTGATGCACAGCAGTTGAGGGTCCGACCGTGCAGCTCCTTTCCGTGCCGTTGCCTTTCTTCGATGCGGCCTCCGCAAATCAGCCCACAAGTTGCCTCACGACAATGTTGTTTGTTATCAGGTTGACTTGCTTGGTTTAGCTGGCCAAGGCGCTTCTAGGCCTGGTTTTGGGTCTCCGTAGAGGCGGTCTTGGAAACTTTGCGTGAGGCTTCGCGTGTAAGTGCTGAATACGTTTTCTAACAAGAGACCCACCACATCCCACCACCGTCCTTGGGCTTGCGCCTTGGCTCGTCAGCGGGCCTGGCATGCCGCCTTCAGCCCGCTTCCTCCTTTGCAAGGCTCTACATGGCAAGAATTTCTGCAGCAAAGCTTGGGGTGGGTTCCCGAATTATTTTGTCACGTATTTATCATTTTTTTGTCATTTGCCCTGGTCATTTTTGTTGTCAGTGGGATTGCAATTTTTTGTCACTCTGGATTCGGTTGACGTTAACATTGTCATTTGTTTGTCATTTTGGTGTCGATTTTGTGTCATTTATTTGAGGGAGGACGGGGCAGGGTGCCCAGCTGAAATTTGCGCATTTCCCACGACAGTGTTTTTTTCGTCATTTTGGAGTCATTGTTTTGTCACTTTGGGTCATGTTGTGTCATTTGGGAATCATTTGTTGTTGCTTTGGTGGGGCACGGACGGATGGAGGAAGGGAGGGGCAGAGCGCCAGACCGAAATTTTAACATTTTTGAGGCAGTGTCATTCATAGGTGGGGCGCGGAAGGAGGAGGGGCGGGGCAGGGGCTTCGGCTTGGTGCTGGCTTTCCCCGGCTGTCCCAGCTCGCTGCGACTCGTGTGCTGCACTTGTCGGTCCCCTCTTCCCTGCTTCCACAATCGCTTTCGGGATCTAGGTTGTCGCAGTCACCCGACATACATATTAAGAGTACAATTACGACTGTGACTACACGGCTACTACGGCAGCGACGACGACTTCTTCTGCTGCTAGTGCCACTGCTGCTACAGGCTAGCCTGGCCGAAACTGTCCCGGACCCCTGCCATAGTGGTCCTTTTTTGGTTGCCGCCACCCTGCGACAGATCATGCTAAAGTGCTACATTGGACACGTATGTCGAGAAAGCGCATCCGACAGATACCAAAGCCGTAACAAGAGTCGTTTTCCCAGCCGGTCTGAAGGCCAACCACGGGGGATGAACCTCTTCTGGAGACAACATCAATGACACCTGCGTGCGAGTGGTCCACCGTTGGCATAAAGGTCGCCCACCGTGCAGTACAGGTCACACCGGTATGCCGCATTGCGTATGCACCTTACCTTACCTTGCCTTGCCTTGCCTCGCCGAACCTCACCTCACCAAACATCACCAAACCTCACCCCACCAAACCTCACCTCGCCTCGCTTCACCTCACCTCACTCCACCGACTTGACCTGACCTGACCTAACGTCAACTCACCTTACCCTACGTTTTATGTAAAGCGTTGTAAGGCCTCGTTGAGTTTATGGCCAAGCTGGATTAGCCTTGCCTCAGTCTCGCTGTGCGTTGCGTGCATGTGCGGCACACACAAATTTGTGGCATACTATACTTTCTGTTCGCATAAGATCCAAGCGCGTACATTGCGAGGGATGTAAATGCACCGCATAGCCTGCTCCAGCATCTTCGCACGCGTGTCAATTCTGGGTTCATTTCTGATAGCTGTGAGTTGATTCTTGTGCGACTCGCCCAGATGTTGGACATGGAGATGTCTTCGCGCTTTATAGTCCAGACATTCTAGTCCACGATGGTTGTCAGAATTGGAGCAATCGTTTTTCCTCTTTATCGTTGCTTTGAGCTTCCACGCCGTATCAATTGTCCTACAAGCCACTGCAGCTGAAAAGCCGCACTTTGAAAGTTTGCGTGTATGCTGGTCGAGGAAGACGCTGGTCTGCGGCGTGAACCACACTGAGTACGACAAGGCCGCCTCTGTGTTTTTTGTTTTGCTGTCGCCCTGTGTCACCTAAGACTTTGGCGAATTTACTGGTGTAGCATCGTCTTCTGCTGAACCTACCCCTTGGGCAGTGGAAGGCCAACCACCACGTGGTGAGCAACGCCTCCTGCACCACGAATTGCCTTGCCCCGATCTGCCACGTGCTCCTCAAGGAGGGTGTCGGCATCGAGAAAGGGCTGATGACCACCATCCATGCTTACACCGCCACGCAGAAGACGGTGGATGGTGTGTCTGCCAAGGATTGGCGTGGAGGTCGCGCAGCCGCATGCAACATCATTCCCTCCGCGACGGGCGCCGCAAAGGCCGTGGGTGAGGTGCTGCCTAGCACCAAGGGTAAGCTTACCGGCATGGCCTTCCGAGTGCCAACTCCGGATGTCTCAGTGGTGGACCTCACTTTCACGGCAGAGAAGGACACGTCCATCCAGGAGACTCGGGTCGCAAGCAGCGGTAGACGCAGACCCCCAGTAGGCAAACGCCAGGTGCTTAAAAGGTGCTTGAAAGAGTTCTTGCTGCAATCTTGATGATGCAGGAGATCGACTCGCTGCTGAAGGCAGCCTCTGGCAGCTACATGAAGGGTGTTCTCTCCTACACCGACGAGGAGTTGGTGTCCATGGACTTCGTTCACAACGTGAACTCCTCCATCTACGACTCCAAGGCCACTCTGCAGAACAACCTGCCGGGCGAGAAGCGATTCTTCAAGGTCGTGTCCTGGTACGACAACGAGTGGGGATATTCCAACAGGGTGGTGGATCTTCTGATGCACATGATCAGCGCATAAGCCCGAGCACATCGATTCCATTTTGCGCGGAGAGCGGAGCTCTCGTCGCCTGTCAACAGACTCCCTGCAGTGCAGTCAGCACACCGACACTGGCAGTTTGAATCGACGTCGCCAGGAAAAGGAAGACCAGTCCATCGGCACTCCCGACCCCTGTGCTGCTTGATGCCAGATTGTAGCTTGATCTCCGAAGCGAGGTCAGTCCACGCTCGCACATCTTGTGCGGCCGCAGTGCTCCATTCTTGCTAGTGCATCCCCGAACTCTTGTCCCATTGTCGAAATTGCAATGGCGGTGAAGATCGGCATCAACGGATTTGGGCGCATCGGTCGCATGGTTTTCCAGGCCGGGGAAGCTTGATGGCTGAGTCTTTGCTAGCTGGATCAGCGGGCACGCTTAGCTGCGAATGCGCAGTCTCTGTATGTCACGATTATGTCACGGGTAGCTGTGTGACAGGAAGCGACGAGAAGCTGCCGTCGTCTGTCGCGTCGCAAGCTTGTAGGAAGATCGAAGTAAAAACCTGCAAGGCCATCTGCGACCAGGGACTGTTGGGCTCCAAGCTCGATGTCGTCGGCGTGGTCGATATGTCCACCGACGCAGAGCTTCTCGGCTGTCTGCTGTTTCAGTATGCATCACGAAGAGACATCCCGACTCCTGCATGATAGCCAGCCGAGAGCGATCCGACATAAGGTACTTCGCTTACCAGATGAAGTATGCCGCACTCTGAGTTTCTTCATCAACAGATGCAAGATGCCTTCAGCCGCATATCTCGTCAACTGTAGCTTGTTGCTCAGGACACGGTTCACGGCCAGTTCAAGCACGACGTGAAGATCGGTGAGAAGGACGAGCTGATCGTGAACGGAAACAAGATCAAGCAACTTGGCAGCGTTGCCTTCGTGTGCTGAAGTCGGTCGGCAGTAACAACGCATGCAGGTGCATCCAGGCCAGCCGGGAAGGCCCCAAGGCCCTGCCTTGGAAGGAGCCTTTGCTCCTGAAGCCTTCGAGACTGACAATCCCGACATCTTGAAGTCTCGACAGGACATGGGCGTGAAGTACGTCATCGAGTCCACTGGCCTCTTCGTGGAGTACGAGTGGCTCGTCGACATACTTGCGCTTCATGGAGTGGTGCCGTGCGCAGTATTTGCTTGGGTTCTGCCAAGTAGTGCTAGCGTGCCTGCGCTGCTCTGAGGAAGGCCGTCGGCCACATCGAGGCAGGTGCAGAGAAGGTGATCATCTCGGCCCCGGGCAAGGGCAACCTGAGCCTTGGGATTCAGTTCAGGCGGTCTTGAGGGGACCTCCCCGCTCCTCGCATGATTCGGACTAGCCCTTTGTCGCCGAGTAGTTGGTAGTTGCGGCATAGCGGGTTCAAGGAAGACGCTGGTCTGTGGCGTGAACCACACGGAGTACGACAAGGCCGCCCCTTGTGTTTCTTGATGTTTCTTGCTCTGCTGTCGGCCAGTGCCGCCTAAGACGTTGGCGAATCTGTTGGTGTAGCATCGTCCTTCCGCTGAATCTCCCCCTTGGGCAGTGGAAGGCCAACCACCACGTGGTGAGCAACGCCTCCTGCACCACGAACTGCCTTGCCCCGATCTGCCACGTCCTCCTCAAGGAGGGTGTCGGCATCGAGAAGGGACTGATGACCACCATCCATGCTTACACCGCCACGCAGAAGACGGTGGATGGCGTGTCTGCCAAGGACTGGCGAGGAGGTCGCGCAGCCGCATGCAACATCATTCCCTCCGCGACGGGCGCCGCAAAGGCAGTGGGTGAGGTGCTGCCGAGCACCAAGGGTAAGCTTACCGGCATGGCCTTCCGAGTGCCAACTCCGGATGTCTCAGTGGTGGACCTCACTTTCACGGCAGAGAAGGACACGTCCATCCAGGAGACTCGGGTCGCAAGCAGCGGTAGACGCAGACCCCCAGTAGGCAAACGCCAGGTGCTTAAAAGGTGCTTGAAAGAGTTCTTGCTGCAATCTTGATGATGCAGGAGATCGACTCGCTGCTGAAGGCAGCCTCTGGCAGCTACATGAAGGGTGTTCTCTCCTACACCGACGAGGAGTTGGTGTCCATGGACTTCGTTCACAACGTGAACTCCTCCATCTACGACTCCAAGGCCACTCTGCAGAACAACCTGCCGGGCGAGAAGCGATTCTTCAAGGTCGTGTCCTGGTACGACAACGAGTGGGGATATTCCAACAGGGTGGTGGATCTTCTGATGCACATGATCAGCGCATAAGCCCGAGCACATCGATTCCATTTTGCGCGGAGAGCGGAGCTCTCGGAGCCTGTCAACAGACTCCCTGCAGTGCAGTCAGCACACCGACACTGGCAGTTTGAATCGACGTCGCCAGCAAAAGGAAGACCAGTCCATCGGCACTCCCGACCCCTGTGCTGCTTGACGCCAGATTGTAGCTTGATCTCCGAAGCAAGGTCAGTCCACGCTCGCACATCTTGTGCGGCCGCAGTGCTCCATTCTTGCTAGTGCGTCCCCGAACTCTTGTCCCATTGTCGAAATTGCAATGGCGGTGAAGATCGGCATCAACGGATTCGGGCGCATCGGTCGCATGGTTTTCCAGGCCAGGGAAGCCTCTTTGCTAGCTGGATCAGTGGGCACGCTTAGCTGCGAATGCGCAGTCTCTGTATGTCACGATTATGTCACGGGTAGCTGTGTGACAGGAAGCGACGAGAAGCTGCCGTCGTTTGTCGCGTTGCAAGCTTGTAGGAAGATCGAAGTAAAAACCTGCAAGGCCATCTGCGACCAGGGACTGTTGGGCTCCAAGCTCGATGTCGTCGGCGTGGTCGATATGTCCACCGACGCAGAGCTTCTCGGCTGTCTGCTGTTTCAGTATGCATCACGAAGAGACATCCCGACTCCTGCATGATAGCCAGCCGAGAGCGATCCGACATAAGGTACTTCGCTTACCAGATGAAGTATGCCGCACTCTGAGTTTCTTCATCAACAGATGCAAGATGCCTTTAGCCGCATATCTCGTCAACTGTAGCTTGTTGCTCAGGACACGGTTCACGGCCAGTTCAAGCACGACGTGAAGATCGGTGAGAAGGACGAGCTGATCGTGAACGGAAACAAGATCAAGCAACTTGGCAGCGTTGCCTTCGTGTGCTGAAGTCGGTCGGCAGTAACAACGCATGCAGGTGCATCCAGGCCAGCCGGGAAGGCCCCAAGGCCCTGCCTTGGAAGGAGCCTTTGCTCCTGAAGCCTTCGAGACTGACAATCCCGACATCTTGAAGTCTCGACAGGACATGGGCGTGAAGTACGTCATCGAGTCCACTGGCCTCTTCGTGGAGTACGAGTGGCTCGTCGACATACTTGCGCTTCATGGAGTGGTGCCGTGCGCAGTATTTGCTTGGGTTCTGCCTTCAGCTTCCCTACAGTACCCAAGTAGTGCTAGCGTGCCTGCGCTGCTCTGAGGAAGGCCGTCGGCCACATCGAGGCAGGTGCAGAGAAGGTGATCATCTCGGCCCCGGGCAAGGGCAACCTGAGCCTTGGGCCAGAGCTTAGCTTCAAATGCTGTAACAGGGGACCCCAGACCCTCTTATCGTCTTAATCTGAGCATAATCTGAGGCCACAACTTCAGTATTCTAGTCAGTTTCGCTCTCTGTCGCGAGGTTCCCGCTTCTGTCTTTTGGGGTTCTCGGTGCTTCACGGCTTTTGGGCTTCAGGTTTCTGCGCATGTCTGGTTTGTGAGAGGCTGCTGTTGGGAGCAGCCTTGGAAGGAAATGTGACTAATTACATTTATGGCACCTTTTTGTATTTGATAGTGTATGCTTCTAGAACAGAATGGTATATTCTTCCCATGATGACCTGCCTCCTCATGTTGGGAGGGGTCTGTTTTGTCACATACGAAGCGTCATCAATTGCCATTGGTTCCAGGCTCGCCGTCTTGGGCTTTGCATCCTTTCGGCTGAGTGCTGCATGATTCTTCCCCGACTTGGATCTTCCCTCCTTCTTTGTCCATGTCGACTGCATCTTCCTCTGGCGCGGGCAGCGGGCATCCCTGCGCTACAGAAGGCCTCATCAAGCTAATTGACGCCGATGTGTGTGCTGTCGAAAGTCCTTGCCGGTACTTGCAAAGGAGCCGGCGCTGCTGCACTTTGCCTTGCATTCCCCGGCAACGCCCTGTCGGTTTAGGCCTCCGGGGTCCCTATGCGGTTTGGTGATAGCAGTGTGATAGCACCGGTGTATTGCCTGGCAAGCGCATGCTGCGGGATCGCGCAGTGCATTGCAGTCCGTGCGTTCTGCCCCTTTCAGTCTTGGCCCTTACACACCGGAAAGCAAGTTCACGCTCCTTCGCGAGTGTACAAGTTGTGTTGGACATTCTTGGACCGTCGGGTGAACCATGCGAAAGCTGCCACCAAAAGCCAAAAATCGATCGGTCTGCCCGTCCAGCTTTACTCGCTCAATTTGTAAAAAGAAGAAACGATCGGTTTGCAATCATGCTTAGTGTTGTTATGAGCTTCCTGATGTGTTAATTGAGGTTCGGTAGCAGGTGAAAAAATTCAAGAGTCGGAGCTGTCGGTCCAAGGAAGACGCTGGTCTGCGGCGTGAACCACACGGAGTATGACAAGGCCGCCCTATGTTTCTTTTTTTGCTGTCGCCCAGCGCCGCCTAAGACTTCGGCGAATCTAATCTACTGGTTTAGCATCGTCCTTTTTTTCGGGGGCAGTGGAAGGCCAACCACCACGTGGTGAGCAACGCCTCCTGCACCACGAACTGCCTTGCCCCGATCTGCCACGTGCTCCTCAAGGAGGGTGTCGGCATCGAGAAGGGGCTGATGACCACCATCCATGCTTACACCGCCACGCAGAAGACGGTGGATGGCGTGTCTGCCAAGGACTGGCGAGGAGGTCGCGCAGCCGCATGCAACATCATTCCCTCCGCGACGGGCGCCGCAAAGGCAGTGGGTGAGGTGCTGCCGAGCACCAAGGGTAAGCTTACCGGCATGGCCTTCCGAGTGCCAACTCCGGATGTCTCAGTGGTGGACCTCACTTTCACGGCAGAGAAGGACACGTCCATCCAGGAGACTCGGGTCGCAAGCAGCGGTAGACGCAGACCCCCAGTAGGCAAACGCCAGGTGCTTAGAAGGTGCTTGAAAGAGTTCTTGCTGCAATCTTGATGATGCAGGAGATCGACTCGCTGCTGAAGGCAGCCTCTGGCAGCTACATGAAGGGTGTTCTCTCCTACACTGACGAGGAGTTGGTGTCCATGGACTTCGTTCACAACGTGAACTCCTCCATCTACGACTCCAAGGCCACTCTGCAGAACAACCTGCCGGGCGAGAAGCGATTCTTCAAGGTCGTGTCCTGGTACGACAACGAGTGGGGATATTCCAACAGGGTGGTGGATCTTCTGATGCACATGATCAGCGCATAAGCCCGAGCACATCGATTCCATTTTGCGCGGAGAGCGGAGCTCTCGTCGCCTGTCAACAGACTCCCTGCAGTGCAGTCAGCACACCGACACTGGCAGTTTGAATCGACGTCGCCAGCAAAAGGAAGACCAGTCCATCGGCACTCCCGACCCCTGTGCTGCTTGACGCCAGATTGTAGCTTGATCTCCGAAGCAAGGTCAGTCCACGCTCGCGCATCTTGTGCGGCCGCAGTGCTCCATTCTTGCTAGTGCGTCCCCGAACTCTTGTCCCATTGTCGAAATTGCAATGGCGGTGAAGATCGGCATCAACGGATTCGGGCGCATCGGTCGCATGGTTTTCCAGGCCAGGGAAGCCTCTTTGCTAGCTGGATCAGTGGGCACGCTTAGCTGCGAATGCGCAGTCTCTGTATGTCACGATTATGTCACGGGTAGCTGTGTGACAGGAAGCGACGATAAGCTGCCGTCGTTTGTCGCGTTGCAAGCTTGTAGGAAGATCGAAGCAAAAACCTGCAAGGCCATCTGCGACCAGGGTCTGTTGGGCTCCAAGCTCGATGTCGTCGGCGTGGTCGATATGTCCACCGACGCAGAGCTTCTCGGCTGTCTGCTGTTTCAGTATGCATCACGAAGAGACATCTCGACTCGTGCATGATAGCCAGCCGAGAGCGATCCGACATAAGGTACTTCGCTTACCAGATGAAGTATGCCGCACTCTGAGTTTCTTCATCAACAGATGCAAGATGCCTTCAGCCGCATATCTCGTCAACTGTAGCTTGTTGCTCAGGACACGGTTCACGGCCAGTTCAAGCACGACGTGAAGATCGGTGAGAAGGACGAGCTGATCGTGAACGGAAACAAGATCAAGCAACTTGGCAGCGTTGCCTTCGTGTGCTGAAGTCGGTCGGCAGTAACAACGCATGCAGGTGCATCCAGGCCAGCCGGGAAGGCCCCAAGGCCCTGCCTTGGAAGGAGCCTTTGCTCCTGAAGCCTTCGAGACTGACAATCCCGACATCTTGAAGTCTCGACAGGACATGGGCGTGAAGTACGTCATCGAGTCCACTGGCCTCTTCGTGGAGTACGAGTGGCTCGTCGACATACTTGCGCTTCATGGAGTGGTGCCGTGCGAGGTCTTTGCTTGGGTTCCGCCGCCTTCAGTTTCCCTACGGTACCCAAGCAGTGCTTGCGGGCTCGCGCTGCCCTGAGGAAGGCCGTCGGTCACATCGAGGCAGGTGCAGAGAAGGTGATCATCTCGGCCCCGGGCAAGGGCAACCTGAGCCTTGGGATTCAGTTCAGGCGGTCTTGGGGGGACCTCCCCGCTCCTCGCATGATTCGGACTAGCCCTGTGTCGCCGAGTAGTTGGTAGTTGCGGCATAGCGGGTTCAAGGAAGACGTTGGTCTGCGGCGTGAACCACACCGAGTACGACAAGGCCGCCCCTTGTGTTTCGTGTCTGGCTGTCGCCCAGTGCCGTCGGCCTAAGACTGTGGCGAATCTGTTGGTGTAGCATCGTCCTTCTTTTCGGGGGCAGTGGAAGGCCAACCACCACGTGGTGAGCAACGCCTCCTGCACCACGAACTGCCTTGCCCCGATCTGCCACGTGCTCCTCAAGGAGGGCGTCGGCATCGAGAAGGGGCTGATGACCACCATCCATGCTTACACCGCCACGCAGAAGACGGTGGATGGCGTCTCTGCGAAGGACTGGCGAGGAGGTCGCGCAGCCGCATGCAACATCATTCCCTCCGCGACGGGCGCCGCAAAGGCAGTGGGTGAGGTGCTGCCGAGCACCAAGGGTAAGCTTACCGGCATGGCCTTCCGAGTGCCAACTCCGGATGTCTCAGTGGTGGACCTCACTTTCACGGCAGAGAAGGACACGTCCATCCAGGAGACTCGGGTCGCAAGCAGCGGCAGACGCAGACCCCCAGTAGGCAAACGCCAGGTTCGGAAAAGGTGCTGGAAAGAGTTCTTGCTGCAATCTTGATGATGCAGGAGATCGACTCGCTGCTGAAGGCAGCCTCTGGCAGCTACATGAAGGGTGTTCTCTCCTACACCGACGAGGAGTTGGTGTCCATGGACTTCGTTCACAACGTGAACTCCTCCATCTACGACTCCAAGGCCACTCTGCAGAACAACCTGCCGGGCGAGAAGCGATTCTTCAAGGTCGTGTCCTGGTACGACAACGAGTGGGGATATTCCAACAGGGTGGTGGATCTTCTGATGCACATGATCAGCGCATAGGCCCGAGCACATCGATTCCATTTTGCGCGGAGAGCGGAGCTCTCGTCGCCTGTCAACAGACTCCCTGCAGTGCAGTCAGCACACCGACACTGGCAGTTTGAATCGACGTCGCCAGAAACCGAGTTGCAAGCTCGGCTTCGATCGGTCGCCATATCGTGGACCTTTTCAGCAGTCCTCTCGATCTTCGAGATGTTGCGCAAGTTTGCACGACATTCTGGAAGCCGCCACTTCCCTTCTGCAGCCTTTGGCTTCGCCCAGGCTAGCTGAGAGACCTTTCGCTCTCACATCTAAGCAATGGAAAATGAAGCCTGCGGCCCCCGATGCCCACGCAGTGCTTTCAGGCCTAGAGCCGTCTGACAAGCCGCTAAGCCAGAAGAGGCTGCTCAGCTCCGAAGTTCCGAGGTACGATGTTCTCTTCTGCTGGCTCACCAGCACGATGCGGAGAGCCAAGGGGCCTCTCAAACGAAAGGCTTTACGTCTCATTGCTTTGCACAAAAAACCCTGAACAAGCTGGCCCCAAGTAGCTGAGGAGAGTGGTGCAGACAACGGATCTGTGCTCACCGCCCGACGCAGATTTAATTGCTGCCCGGTTGATTTAACTCCATTCTCTGTCTTGTTACCGCGGTTGTGCGGAAGTGCAGATTTGTATCCACGGACAAAATCTCGGAACTTGTGATCCCAGGCGGAGATGATGCCTGACCAAGTGCTGATGGTGAGAGACGTACTGAGACGCGAGAGGTGCTCACTACTGCAAGCTGGAGTAGCCATGCTGATCTACTCCCTTTGTCAAACCGCTCTGCCAATCAGCATGCTGATGGTCATCCGCTGTGTGGAGAGTGACACTGGCGAGCTCCAGTGGCTGAGTGAATGGACGACTGCAGACTCCATGATCTACTGGATACTGGCATATGCCATCTTCCAAGCGGGTGCAGCAGTCGCCAACCACTGGCAGCTTCATGCTGCGTTTCATGTGGGCCAACGTGTGCGTGCCCAGCTGATCATGCTTGTTTTCCAGTTTCTCGACTGCAGGGCAGGGCTGCGACACCATACATGGTGTATGCAGAAAAACGGAGAACGTCCTGTCGGTCGGCAGTCGTGTGTTGGTGATCCGACCTAACCCAGGAAGGCTCTCCGAGTAGATCCTCAGAGAAGGCGGGCCGGGATGTGTGAGAGGCTGCTCAGAAAGGTGCTGTAGGCAGCAGGTAGTGGCTTAGGAACTTAGGAGTTTCCGATTTCTGCATTCGTCACAAGAGGACAGCTGATGCCCCGCAAGCTGATGCTCTGGCAGGCCGTCTGTTGGCCACACCTTGACTTTGATGGCATCTGATGCACAGAGCCCTGCGAGCACTCAGTTCCATTGCTTTCCAGTCCCCGTGCTTGTTCTCTCTCCCTGACGTTCATCTTGGATGTGCGCGCACCTAGACCTCGAATCTCGCGTGATCAGGAAATTCTTGGAGGCCATGCCTTTCATCCACAAGTTGTGGGGATCACCGCGGCGCGCTTAGCACATGTCATAATCTACATCCGTTTCGGCCTAGCCGTTGGGAACTCGGGTTCAGCAATGAGCTGGTCATGGCATGGTGTTGTCGCAAAACGCGAGTGGGCCGAGTGGGGAGGTCTCCTTCCAAATGTGCAATTTCGATCCCAAATTGCTTCCTTAGCTATCCTACCATCCATCCGTTCCCTGGACACGTCCGGCGGAGTTTCAGTCCTAGATGCGGCCGGACACACGGCTACACATGAAAGGGATGCAGATTCGCTTCTGTTGTACGCAGACGGGTCTGCTCTGTGTACCACCACCAGCTGACCCGATGAGGTCCTGTCCATCTGTCACGTTGTGGCTGAGGCTTCAAATCGCTCTGGCCAGCGCCATTCTCGTGTCCACGATCTCAGCCAGTGCGCTGTGCGGCATTGTGGTGCTCATCGCTGTGGTCCCCATCTCCAAAAACCTAGGTAAACTCCTGCAGAGGCTTGTGCAGGGGTCAACGCCGGTCCGGGCCGGAAACGGTCTGCATGAAATATTGCTCTACCACTGCCACTGTCAGGTCTCGACAACGGCATCTTCAGTTCACGGATCAGCGAGTCCGGATGTGCGTGGAGCTGTTGGAAGGGATACGCTGCATTAAGTTCTTCGCTTGGGAAAGGCCTTACTTGGAACGTGTCTTCCAGAAGCGCCAGCAGGAGCTGTATTGGGCCATGCGAGAGTCGTTGGTATACGGCGTGTCCATGCTGGTCACGGTGTTGGCGCCATTATTAGCGTTCGCAACCACACTTGTGGCTTTTGCGCTGCTGGGCGAGGGCTCTTTTTCTGCTACCCGCCTCTTTGGCACGTTGGCGCTGCTGAACGCTCTGCGATTTCCAATCATGGACTTGGGTTCCATACTCGCGTCTATAGTGGCTCTTCACACGGGATGGCAACGCATCCAGCACTTCCTAGATCTCGCCGAGGCAGGCATTCCGGTGGCCAAGCTCGAAGACGATGTGGAGTTGAAGATGGAGAAATGCACGTTTTCTTGCAATGCTGACGGAGAGGAATGCTTTCAGCTATCTCTCGACGCCACACTGACACTGAGACGTGGTGATCTTTTTCTGGTTCTAGGCAAAGTTGGCAGTGGCAAATCCACCTTGCTTCAAGGCCTGCATAAGACGGAGTAAAGTAGTTGTCTGAGTTGTTTGCATCTTTGATGGGACCGGGCTGAAGCGTCTAAGAGCTCGGCAAGCTTCGATGTGTGCTTGGCAGGAATCCTGGGGGAAACTCACTGTTCGTCGGGACTTCTATCGGTGAGCGATGGTATTGCTTACTGCGCCCAGCAGCCATGGATTCGGAACGAGACCCTGATGGACAATATTCTCTTTGGGGAGGAGCTGGACACGGAATGGTACGACCAGGTTCTTGCCGCCTGCGGGCTGGGTCCGGACCTGAAGCAGCTGCCATACGGAGACCAGACTGAAATCGGAGAGAGGGGTGTGACCATCAGTGGTGGTCAAAAGCAGCGAGTCGCACTGGCTCGTGCTGTTTATCAGCGCAAATGCTCGATGGTAATTCTAGATGATGTTTTTTCAGCTCTGGATGCGCACACATCAAGCCACATCATCAAGGCCCTTTTCCATGGACAGAAGGGGCTCCTGCGGGATCGTGCTGTTCTTCTGGCATCGCATCAGACAGCATGCGCTTTGCAAGCCCAGCGAGTTCTGCTGCTAGGCCTGGCTGGCTTGAAGGGCTCGTGCTTAGGAGTGATTTTGTGGCAGTTCAGAAGTCCAGGACTCCAAGATTTCTCCCCTGGCCTTTACGGTATGTGAGCATCATGCTACGGGCATCCCTAAGAGCCACCAGGTGAAGGCATTCGCAGGCATGCTTTCGTGCGCAGTAATGAGGAAGCATCATGCCGCACGCCCTCCGTGAGTGTCTCGTTTCCCGGCGTTCCTTCCGGGTGTTTGCAACAGGCCAGAAGGATGCCTCCATACCACACTCCTCGCTTCTCTTTGAGGGGGATTGGCTGGATCTCTGCAAACAGCCACACCTACTGTCGCTGCTTGGCCATGTCGCTCGGCCATGTTTGGACAGGTGTGAATCTGTACATCAGATACGTGCAAGAAACTGCTGGAGCAAACCAGCCCCTTGGGCCGGACCCCATCACAGGTTGAGATCTCGAATCTCTCTAAGCTGTGGCACATCGTTGCTCCCGCAAGATGTGCGTGAGTGTTTGCACACATCACATCATTAGGAGCAACAAACAACTGACAGCACGTCTGGAAGCAGGCAAGTGGCTGGCACCAGTACGTGCCTTGCAGGGGGTTTTGCTCTCAGTTTGGTGCTGGCTTTCCTCTGAGGTTCCCTCGGATGATACGGCGGCCAAGAAGGACATGCAGACAGAGGAGGAGGAGGAAGAGAATGAGGATGCCGAGGAGGAGAATAAAGTCAAAGCTCTGCCTCGGAGCTTGTCGATGCAGCCTTCAAGTGCGCAAACCTGGGGTCATCTGAATGCAGGAGGCGCGACACAGGTCCACAACAGCGTTAGCCACAGCTCAGACTCCAATGCCGAAGAGCGGCTTGCTTGGAAGTGATTGTGATTGGCTTCGCGAATAAAACAAACCATCTCATCACCGCTGAGGCATGATGAGGTCAGAGGAGCACACTGACAGGATATCCTGGCGTTCTGTCAAGGCTTACTGCCGATGCTGTGGAGGCGAAAGGGACCGTGCAACTTGCTGCGATCTGGCACCTGCAGAAATACGAGTAGCAGAGAGCCTGCATGCAGTCTGCACTTCGACTCCTGCATCGATCCAGGCTTCCCTTGGGTTGCTTCCTTCTTCGCCAGCTCCGTTGCCGAGCGGATTGCGCTGATCTTTCTGGATTGGTGGCTGGCCAGGTGGGCTGAAGAGGCAGGTCGATGTCGGCCCGAAGCCCCTGCCCTGAAGCCGATGGTACACTCCTAAGCAGCCATGCTTCCCACCTGTGGATCAGGACTCTGCAGATGAGAGGTCCACGTACTTTGCAGTGTACTTTGCCACGGTGCTGCTGGTGATGTTTATCGTGTCCTTCGGGCGACACTTGTCTTGTTTGTTGAATCTGGAGGCTCATGGGCACATCCATTTTGTTTGGAATTGTCGGGTTTAGGTTTGTTTTTTGGGTCAGGGTTTTGCTGTCCAGTTCTTGATCCTGGTCAGCCTCTCGTGTTGGATGTCTCTGGGTTACTGCTGTGCGCAGAAGTATACCTTAGGGCGCTGTTTCTTACACTTGTGGCGCTGCGGTGAGGTCTGGTGTTTGCCATGGCCACGGTTAATGCAGGGCGCCGCCTCTCAGCTTTAACCGCTGAAGGAACGGAGCTCGAGATGTCTCTGAGAGCTCGAGCCTTCGTCGCCTCAGGACTCTTTAAGCAGCTGGCCTTGAGTGTGCTTCGGGCGCCCATGTGGTGGTCGCAGCCTGAGACCGCTAGCGTAGCTTGAGCTGTAGCAAGATAAGCCATGAAGTCTGTAGAATCACGTTGAATTCAAGCAGTTCTGTTTTGTTCGCATGGTGCTTTCCTTACGGTCTAGCTCTGGTGGTGTTACTCGCACTTTGGAGAGTGATCCATGTTGGAACACCAAAGCACGATCATGTTTTGTGATGGCCGAGAGTGCCTGCCTTCCGTCGTAGCTTCTCTTCTAGAAGCTGGTTATTTGACTCGGCTGGAGGTGGGATACGACCCCGCTGGGGAGGGTCCTGAATCGCTTCAGCCGACTGCTCAGCACACGATCTGCCACTGTCCAGACAGAGAGCAGAAGATGCCAAGCGCCATAAAAGGCTTCGACACAGAGAACACGGACACCACCCTAGTCACCAAGCTCTTCCCGGCACTACAGTCCATGAGCTGGTGCTGGCCTCACCTATATCACTCTCAAGCAAGACAGCAGAGTGAAATTATTGGAGCATCTCAGTACTATAGAGGTAACCTCCAACTGTGCCTGAGGTGTTTGGGCGCCTTGGCCGTCATGGCCGGCACACTGTGGCCGTATTCCTTACTGATTATCCCACTCCCAGCATCTGGCCTGCAACTACGCACAAAGGGATCATGATTCATCGATAGGGGAACATGTCGGGTCCTGGCTGTTGCAACTCGCAGGTATTCATCTACACCATCCTCTTCCAATTCGCTCGGAAGTCCATCCGACAGTTCCAGCAACTGGACAGCGTCTCCCGCAGTCCGATCCAATCCCTCTACTCCGAGGCCTTGCAGGGCATCGTCAGCGTCCGCGCCTTCGCCTCCGAGGTCCGCTACAAGGAGCGCCTGGCAAGTTTCGTGGACAGCAACTCGGCGGCGGTGCTGACTTTCAACACCTCCAGCCGTTGGCTCGGAGTCCGCGTGGAGCTCTTGGCTGCATTGACGGCTGGACTGGTTGGCTTGGGCTGCTGGCTGTTGCGTGAAGAGATCACCGCTGGTTTGGTTGGCTTGTGTTTCATTTGGACAACAAATCTCTCGACATCTCTGGGCTTCAACTGCATCTTCTCAAGCCAGGCAGAGGCTGTCTTCACTTCTGTTGAGCGAATGGTCGAATATGCGTCAGATGTTCCTTGCGAAGGCAAGCATCAGGGACTCGACAGCTGGCATGGAACGACAGCTCCTGAAGGCGAAGAGATGCGGCCCATTAGCGCTTGCCAGACCGATCCCCCTCTTCTGATCTTTGAGAACGTTGCACTGCGCTACCAGCCAAAGTTGCCGTTGGCATTGGATTCGATTTCTTTCGAAGTAGCGGCAGCCGAACGGTTTGCTGTTGTCGGGCGCACCGGCTCAGGCAAATCGACGCTAGCTGTGGCTTTGTTTCGGCTTTCGCCGGTGGAGGGAGGATCCATCCGCCTGAACGGAGTAGACCTTGGAGCTCTGCCGCTCGACGTGGCCAGGAAGTCGATTGGCATCATCACGCAAGATCCTGTCATCTTCAGTGGGACTGTGCAATACAATCTGGATCCCTTCGAGGAGTTTGACAAGTCGGATTGTGCAGAAGCGCTCTTGCAAGCTCAGCTGGCAGAAACAGTGGAACTGGAAACCGAGATAGAACAGGCTGGTTCGAACCTGCCCCTTAGCCTTGCATGCTTTGTATTGCCCTCACCTACTGCTTGTTGGGGTGCATAATGGTGCATTGCTGTTGAGTTTCCGAGAGTCGCTCCCTGGATGTGGACACTGAGGTCCATTGGTGAACGGCAGCTTCTGTGCCTTGCGCGTGCTTTGCTTCGCAAGCCGCAGCTCCTGGTGTGCGACGAGGCGACGTCGTCCGTGGATGCGGCGACCGATGTCCAGGTCCAATCGTGCCTGCGAAAGGCAGCCGGCAATGGCACTGCCTTGCTCACAATCGCACACCGCTTAGTAACCTTGGCATGCACTACGCAATTAATACTACCTTGTAGGTCGTATTTGTGCCCTTGTTAGCCTTAAGTGGCCTTCGCCCCGAATCTCCTTGTTCAGGCGACCGTTGCAGACTATGACAAAGTCATGGTTTTACAAGCGGGCAGGCTTTTGGAGCTGGGAAGCCCGGCGGCTCTGCTTGAGGACTCAGCCTCCGCCTTCTCTCTCTTGGTCGACTCTCTCGGCCACGAAGCCACGGCTGTGCGCAGAGCTGCCACCAGAGCAGCACCTGCGCGCCTTTCGTTGTGAACGGCCAACTGTCGTGGTTTCACCAAGGTTCGGCAGGGGACAAAGAGCCCCCGCCCACTCCGAAGCACTGGTGCAGAATCGGCACCACAGATTTTCGAGCCCGGGGGATGGGAAGCTCTTTGGGATTCCCCCTCCGGTCGACAGCAAAAGTTCGGAATGCCACCACAGATTGCTTGTTCCGCTGCTCTGCGGGGCAACCCGTGCGCCTGTCTCAGCGTGGCTCAAGGGTTCAAATTCTGAGCCACGTAGTGCTCTATGCGACGTGCTGCCATGAGAGGCCCCGGAGATTTCAGAAAGAAGAAGCCATGCACTAATTTTTCTCGTAGATGCGAACTGCAAGCTTTCAAGGCCTCATTCTTGCCGTGTGTTTGGCCTTCGGCGCGGGCAGCGGTGCATTGCCTCCATGGTCTCGAGCTCAGCTCTTCTTCGGCTACGGGTGATGCTATCCGCGAATGGACTAAGTGACTGAGCCTGTGAGGTGGATCTTGAACAACGTAAAGCCAGAGGGTCAACCACAAAGCATGGGAAGCTACACTATCATCACCTTCTCGGAGGCTCTACCAAGCGATGTATCAAGCTGTAAACAATGCTTGTGTATCTTTAGAAGACAGGGTGGTCTCATGGCTCGCCTTTCTCTTGTCCAAACTGTGGCAGGCTCAACAGGAACGGTTTGCCATCGATTCGCACGGAGAGCCGACCGATAGTGCCAAGTTCAGAGATGCGCTGAAAGCTCTCAAGGACCACCGTGAGCAAATGCGACGAATCTGCAAGCACAGTGCTGTATAGTCAGTGGTCAGTGCGGGCTCAACGTGCAAGGAGGAGAGAATGCAGGGAAAGCAGAAGACGGATGCTGCAGAGGCAGTGAGCTCTGCCTCTAAGCCTTCACTTGCGCCTCTGCTTCCAAGTTACGTTCGCACTTTACCGAAGGCGGCACGGCCGACCGTGACGCCTCGATTGGTCATCTGATCAAGGTTTTGCTTCATGGGGTTTCTGGTTTGCTGAAGGATTTCTACGGTCTAGAATCTAGAAGGCAAGATTGGGCCGGTCGGTGCTGTTTGAACTTTTGAGAGATGTCTTCGAAGTCATGTTAATGTTAGAGTGAGCCCAACTGCCAAAGGAGGCGCCTTAGCTTGACTAACGAAGAGATGTGAAAAGGATTCTTCTCCTTGGTTGGCTACACTTTCAGGCCCTTCTTTGAGCTTTTAGCGGCAGGCTTCACAGCCTGCTGCGCAGTGTACAAAGAGACTTCCCCAGGGCTTTCCTGCCAAGTGCAATGTGTGACAATAGAACTTGGACTTGTGTTTCTGTGTGTAGGTGGGCTGTTTCGACCGATGTGGAGGAACAGGATTGGTCTTGACAGAAGCGGAATTGAGTCGTGCAAAAGTCCGCATCAGCTTGTCGGCACTGCACGTCTGGATCGGCTGGCGGGCTGCGGTCTTCTGGCAACATCTGCATGCCTGTGCAAGAGTTCCTGTCGAAGCTGCTTTGTCTCAGCGTGCCGTTCAGTACATCCGCTTGGAGAGAAGAGGCTTTGGACTTCCTGGGCGAATGGTACAGGGATGTTCCTGGGGATGCCTCGGATGAGAAGCACACAGCACACACGTGATACACATCCGCACGTGGCTTGGATCGACATTTTTGCCCGACATCCGCCAGTAACATCAGAGAGAACTGATTGAATTCGAAGGGAGAGGTGGCCACAGAGAGCGCACATCCGCCGGTTGACGGCTTCTGCTGTGCAGGTCGAAAGCATGGCGTCCGGAAACGATGCAGGCCACTTGTTTTACAGGCCAGCAAGATCCAGGGTCCAGACATTGCGTGGAAGTGCAGGCGGTGGTCGTTTGAGCTGCAGCGCGACAGACCGCAAAGGCCGGGTGACGTTTCTGCCCGCAGGCTTTATACTGCAGAGCAGCAACTCATCACGCGACTCAGCGGTCTTTCTGTGTCGCACTGCAAGAGAGGGCTGTCGCCTGTCGCGGCACAGGACCGCCAGCTGGCCTCACCGTACGTGCCCTGGCAGATGAAAGTTGGTGCCCTTGCAGATCCTTTGCTGTTCTGCTGTGCCTTGGGCGTGTTCCGCTCCGCCCTTGCCAGGAGCCCTGGATTGGCCACTCAGCAAAGACGAGAAGCGGCTTTGTGCCATGAAGCTCTTCCAGCAAGAGGTTGAGGCCAGTTGCAGTTGCGGAGATGCGTCAAGCAGAGTATATGACCTTAAGATGACCTCTGTCAGTGACAACGTGAGGCATCCGCAGATCAGTTGGATGAGCAGTCCGAGCAGATCGACGAGCTGCATGCAGAGATCAAGGCCTCACAGGGGGACACGGCACTCCATGCCGTCTCAACCGTCTCAACACGAAAGGTCTTGAGACGGCTCTCCACCTGTTCCACGGCCGCGGGCTCCGTGTCGCCGGCTTCGGGCGAGGCGTCAAAAGCCGTAAACATCACGGCTGTCAGCTTTGATTCGACGTGCCAGGCGCCTGATCACTGCGCTGAGGCCATGGTGCAGATCCTGGGTTCGTCCGGTTTCGGGTTCAGGTTGTATGCCCAAGACTGCAGGCCAGGTTTAGTCCGACTGCCCATGTCCAGGGCAGGCAGAGCAGGTCAGAGCCGTAGCCCTGTCAGACACGGTGACAGAACGAAACTCGGGACAATGCTATATCTCTTGGTTGGCACCCTTCATCCGTCAGCCACGCTTGTTGAGGCCGAGCTGCGAGTACCGGGCCCTTGCGAGGAGAACTTGCAGCGATTTCTAGCTCATCTGACTAGGCTCCGAATCCCGACGTTGGGCCTTGCGCAGGAAACATTGCTATCGGCAGTACAAGCGTATGATGGGGCGAGCCAGAGGCCTGCCGTCTTTGGCCAAGCACAGTCATCAGATGTCATCGAAATTCTCAGCAGCGCAATGGGATACAACATTGCAAGTCGTGCGATTCCTGAACACATGCATTCATGGATGTCTGTGGTCAGAAGCCATGCGCAACCGAACCGGTCGCCGCTGCCGGGTTGCAAGCAGAGACGCAGTTGGTGATGTAGCAGGGTAGGTTATTGCAGCAAGCATTTTACAGTGCTGTGACGGCTGAGGGAGCAAATCGCCAAGTTCTATGGCGGCTGTGAAGATCACGCAGCAGACTTTTGGGGCTGTGTAGCTGACAAGGACTGGAACTGGATTGGAACTGATGCGTCAGACTCCTGGACCAGTTTCTTGACCAGCCAGACTGCTTGCACACCCGGATGCACGCAAAGTGTGATCGTTTGCAGTTTGCAGTCTCTGCGACGGTGCTTTGTGCTTGCAAAACGAGGACGACCTGACTCCGTTGGAGGCGGTCATGTGGCTCGCAAGGTCTTTACCTGCTCCGATCTTGGAGGGACGGTCAAGGCCAGAGGCCAGAGTCTGAGTCTTCGACGCCGTGCGGCGGGCCGCGAGTCGCAGGCGCTGGCGAGCGACGCTCCTCCAAAGTGGCCACGGCCGCTCAGGCTTTGAGGAGCTTCGGGCACGGGCCTGGGCATCAGCCGAGGCTTCCGTGAGAGAGAGAGAGAGAGGATGTTCAGAGTGACTAGGACCAGGAGTGACTTCTGAATTCTAAAGTTTCTTGAGACTTCAAACTGCAGCGAATCAGTCTTTCATGTTAGGCTCGCGTTCGAGCCTCGATCTTGGCAGACGGCTTATGACCTGTCGGCAGCTGTGAGTGGGGTCGGTGGTCAGGCGCAGACTCTTCGACTGGAGGCAGAACGAGAGCTGCGGCGAACTTTCCGAGGCGGCGTCACCTTTGAAAGGGGGCTCTTGCTGGGGATGCAGCTAAGGTGATGAGTTTATGGAAAGTCCGGGCGTTCCAGAAGCAATTGCTCCCTGGCCTAGCATTCATTGCTGTTGCGACTCTGCGATTGTGCAGCGGGGCTTGCACAGGTTCTATGTTGACTCCCTGCAGCCCAGGTAGAGATTGCTCAAACTATTTCGGCTCCGAAAGGCGATCACCTTCCTGGAGCCACCCACATCGCTGCCCTGCTCATGTACGGCACCTCGGTTTGCGAGGCATCCATTGGAAGGTGGTTCTGTTGGGTCCCGTTGCCCTCGGTAGGATTCGGGAGAAGACTTTGGCTTGAGCACAGACACACACACACACACTCGTGCACTCGTGCAATCCTCCCTTTGGACTAATGTAAATCTCAAGAATTGCATTCGTATCATTCAGAGGTGTAGGACTCTAAGAGGATTTAGGCTTTACCCCTGGCCTGAATCAAAACTGCACTCATATGGGGTTTATGGCTTGGCCCCAGTGCCATTCCAATGCAGGTACACAATCTGGCGTCCCAGATTGCATCACAGCACTTCTATCACCGTCTTCGTTGGGCAGTGGATGATAGAAGGCTCACTGCCCCCCTGCAATCTTAATGCAATTCAGCAAACCTTGGCAAACAGGTGTTCCACACACACACCCCGCGAACGGGGTAGCCACTTGTGGCAGAAGCGATGCTTGAAATCTGTGCAAATTTTCTACTTGCAGCACCTGAGCTCAATCGAATAGTGAAAATAGGCATTGCTTGGCATCCCAATAATTGGGTATGCACCTTACATGCTATTAATGAAAACGGCCAGTGAAAAGACTGGCAAGACTAATTACATGCAAAAAATTGGCTTTCATGGAGAGACATCTCGCCGTCTTTTGCGAGGCGACTGGGAACACGAAGTATTGTTCTCAGAAATGGTAGTCGTCTCAGTCGATGCTGGGTTTTGGTCCCAGAGCTTATCCGCAGCAAGGCGATTTTGGATCCACTGCTGTGTGGCAGGGAACCACGTTTTCCACCACTGGTCTTGACCATCGGTTGCCGTGCTTTTGGACCAGTAAAAACGCCATGAAATCTGCGGAGAACGAGATCGGCTCCGGTCTGACATGATGTACTGAGTACACTCCACTGAAAGCCACAGACTACGGAGGTATTTCATCAGTGAAATCGTTGGAAACAAAGATCTTCGACGTTCAGCCGTGATTTTTCAGCGTCGCCATCAGATGATTATGGCATATCAGCCAGGGGTGAAATGACACGAAACACTCGCAAATCGGAAATAAGGGTAGAGCTCACTCGGAATCGATCTTCTCGACCGGTGCAGAGCCAATCAAAAAAGATGGCTTTCTGTTGAGATTGTAGCAGCAATTGCCGAAAAGCGATGTACAGTGTTCCTTTATAGAGATAAAGGACAGATCGAAAGAAGACTCGGTTGACCGCCCCAGAAAAGGTGATCTGTGGCATTGGTGCCGTATTGTACATTATGGGTACATAGAGTACATTGGGCCAGCCAGGTGGCTGTGCTGGGCACTCCCTTTGTACAAAATGTTCGCGAATGGACCCGTAATTGAGGCTGCCTAGTGCAAGTGAAGTATCGGCAGGCAAAACTGAGCGAAAGCGTTGACGAATGCGATCAGAAATGACACGAGCCGCACAGTCCGGATACGGCTCTTCTGATTCAGAAGAATCATCAAGCTCAAGTTGATCGCGATCTTCTTCGGTCCAAAACGCCGGATTGTAGTAGAAGAAGAAGATGTGCTTTCGCGATGAAACAAATGATACCACTCTTGCCACAATGGCGGGTTCGGACATAACCAGCGACAAGGCCGACATGTGGCTTTGTAGAAAGAGTGGATTACTGAAGAAAGCCGATGGAGCCTGCAGTCCATGAAAATTGTCGCAGGTTTTCGGCAGGGAATCACTCAAAAGGAAGATCGGCTTTTCTGGCTAACACAACAAAGCTGTAAATGACTTTGCTCTGGAGTGTGAAACTATGTCCCTTCGCCAAATTCATTGGCGATGAGCCTGACTGGACAAAGGTGGGCACGCACATAATGGCATGTACACCGAAAACCGCTTCGAGCCATCATTTTGGCTACTCCTGTGCCTTTGTACACCGTGGTATTGGTCCCCGTAGGGGCAGAAACAGGTTTGCTATTGCAAATGGCATCAAGTACCACGTCCCCAGTGTGAACAACGCGGGAGGTGGTTGGCTCAACTGTAAAAGAGTGTTTCATACTGGCTTGATCCTTGTCCTTTGAAATCTTTTTGGATTTCTTGGATTTATGCTTCTTGCTTTTCTTGCGAGAAGCTTCGTCTTTGGAACTTACCTTCTGCTCACGGGAAGAACGAGCTTCCTCAGGAGGATCAAAAGCAGAATGCCACGAGGACGTTGATGAAACAGGTGATGGCTGCCGATGCTCCGCAGCTTGGTCCATGGCCATTGCACAACCCAGCTGCATGGGAGCCAAAAACTTTATATCCTGGCATAGATTTGCATATGCAGGATCTTACAACATTGACCACTGAGCACATGAGGCTGCAGATTCTTTTCTTGCTGTACGAATTAAATCAGCTTGCAGCCGGAGCATTTGAAAAAGCTGTCGCTGCTGCCATGAGATTCTCTTCCTCCGGTTCCTCAGGCAGCTCTATCTTAGGGGCTTTTGGATTAGCCCATGGGCCCCAGTCGTCATCTGGAGGGCCATCTGCTAGAGCCAAAGTAGGCTCATCTCCGACAGCTTTAACTCTAGTTCTGCGGCGCTGTCTGCTCTGATGCTGAGGGTAGTCAGCTTTGCTTCGTTCTGAAAGAACAAAGACAAAATCAATTCGAGCTGCCGCGAACCGAATTGCCCAGCGTTTGTCCGAAGAACAGCTGTGGACCAGGGCATGAAATCTCGCTAGATTGTTCTCATATCTGGTGCATGCATTCTTGCCCTTAATGTGGTTGCTAGGCAATAAGCCTGCAAAAACCACTCCAGAACAATTCTTGGTTGAGTGGTAACACTTGCAGGCGAGCTGTACAACTCCTGCACCCCAGTTGGGGTTTGTTGTACTTCTGCCGTAAAAAGAAAATGTATCTTCTTGAGGTTCCAGGCCAGCTACACTGTGATCCGTAGGGAGGATCTTGCCTGTAGCCAAAATTCCGGTGGCTCCTTCCCTCGTAGTGGCATGTGCCCATAGATGCCAGTTTTGCTGGGCCAAGGGTGGGCCTGGAAAGCCTGTACACCGAAACCGATATCCGACTACATTTTCTTCCACATCATGAAACATTGAGGCACCTTCTTCGAAGTGCCTCTCATAGTGAAGTCTGGACTGCAAAATGCAGTCCACGAAGCCAAAAAATTCTTCTGTGCCGATTGTATTCTGTGGCACAGGCTCCGGAAACAAACTGAGCAAAAACCGAGCACATCGTTGTCTCTCAGGGTCTTTGAGAGATGCGAAGGGGCGCTGGTACTTACGAACCAGTGCCGTCCGGGCTGCATTGCTTCGCAGTGCTTGCCAGGGAGCCATAACCCATTGATCCGGGAAAGGAGCCGTTAAAAGTTGTTGACGGTAGAAAAGGTATTGACTCAGGGTGGTCATCCCTCCCGGTATATGATCTGTTGCTGAAAATCCCGACAGCTGGACTTCCAGCTGGTCTTCAACATCATTGATGTTGGCAGACATAAGGCTCCGAAAAAACTGATCATCAATCTGTTGCTGGCTCTCCGATGGGGCCAGTTGATTGGAGGCCGTTGACCCTTTCTTGGCCTGCTTTGTGGGCTGGCTTGGGCCCGGAAGATCAGCTGCTGGGACTCGTGTTGTTGGTACCGACTGTTGCGGTGCCTTGTTGGGCCTGGCTAACCTCGGCGGTGTACGAGGTTCAGCTGGCTTTCGCAAATCTGGAGCCGCAAAAGGTGTAGCCACAGGTGGTGACAAAGGCGGCGGTGGTGGAAACCAGTATGCTGACACATTGCCCGGGGGAGCAAATGATGGAGGCGGTGGCACCGAAGGTGGCGGCATGACCTGCCTTGGTGGTGGAACCCAAGGTGCTGGGGCTCGCCAGTTGCCCGGAGGATACATTGGTGTATCCATCTGTGGCCGGGTCCTTCTTGGTGTACGGCTTCGCCGTGGCCTCCGTGAGCGAGAATTTCTTGCACGACGCCTCGAAGGGGATCTGGAGGCATTGTGTGCCCGATGTGATAAGGCTGGTCTCGGCCGCGGTTAAGGATGTATTTCCTCAGCTGGTCCTTGCAATGCAAGAACACGTGGTTGCGGATTGGATCCTTGGGATTCGCCGCAGAAGAACTGAAAGACGTATGATGCCATAGCTGGGGTACGCAAGGGACAGACTATAAAAGTCGTCGCGAGCCCAGCTTACAGTGTTGAAGATACATGTACACAGCAAACAATACAGACGTCACGCACTGACCACAGAAATCAGAGTTTTGACACTTTCAGGTCAGCATTTCTGCAGGGAAGCCTCTATCTATGTACAATTGGCGAAGTGCCTGCAGTTGAGGTTTGCGACTGCTCGGAGGCCATGCGTACTGTACAATCAAAGCTTTGCGAGATAAATAGCCTGAAATTCGGGTGGACCAACTTCCTGCAGATCGTGGGTTTCTGATTGACCAGGCTTTGTCTGGTTGCAGGTAGGTCACTGTTCTGTTGGCCATGTTGAGCCGGAAGCCCAGAAATTGATGATTCGTAACTTCTTCAAGCTGGATAGTTCCTCCATAAAAGGAGAGGTGTTGAAAATCTTTCATGCATTGGTGCGATAGAAAGTTCTCATCGCACACTACAAGTCGATTGTCAACATATCTGCAGACAAACAGTTCCGATGCTTGGTTGTCAAAGAACCTAGCAGATTCCAGGAACTGGTGCCATTCTCTTTGCCAACAAGATTCTCGCTGAATTACCGGAAGACTGCTGAGGACCGGGCTGATTTGATTACCTATACACGTGCCCCGGTGTTGCCTGAACAATAAGCCCAGAGTGGTGAACACTCCTGCTTGGAAAGAGGTCTGTACAATTGCAGTCAGGTCCGAAACATGAAGAGACCTTATATGTTTGGCTCCCTTTGCCATGGGTTTGCCAGGCCAAGCAGACTCACAATTGGGTTGCTTTTTTAGGGATACCGTAATGTGTGGAGGGTACTCCTGATCTTGATACAGCTGTACAAGCATCGACAACGAATCCAGGATTTGCTGTCTGGGCACAGAGTTGAAAAATCCAACGAGATCATCATTAATTTCAGCGAGATGCACCATAGACGGGGTGCGGCGGAGAAATTGATGCAACTGCTTCCAAAGTTGGGGAGTGGTTGCTAGGCCCATTGCTTCAGGCCAAACCAAGCGAACCATCAAAAGAATCGCTTGTGCAGCTGCGATCAAC